CAGATTAAAACGTTTCTTTAAAACATTATTAGAACCTGTAGGTAATGTTAAGGCCCTGACACACCAGGCCGAAATCGGCGAAGCGTGCCCTGTCGCCCAAACTCAATTTGGTGTGTCCCGCACCGTCGGCCGTGACACGCCTTATTTGGCCTTTCATGGCCGACGCACGGCCGATTCAACATGTTGAATCGGCCGTGCGTCGGCCACAGGCAGTCGGACAAAGAAATCACTCTGATTGGCTGTTCAGCTAGCGAATCAGTGCATGAGAAGCGAAACGGTTGCTTGAGAATGTCTTCCACAAGCAACACTCCAATGGCTGATAGCTCCAGTACCGCACAAAACATGTTTTCGATGGACGAGAGTGAAAATGGAACCCACACGCTATTTGTTGTTTGTTTAGATCACGCAGTCTGTTCTTCTTCTCTGTCTTCCGGTTGTTGCCTATTTTGAATGACGAATACACACTACCGCCGCCTGCTGGTAAGGAGAGTTATTGCCACTCACGCATGCGCAGTTCGTACGTGCTCGGCTGAAGTCTTTGCGGTGTGTTCCAGTGCGACACATGGCCAAGATGCAGGAGAACACGGCGACGCAACAGTCGGCTTCGGCGTCGGCGAGTTCTCTGGTGACTGCTTGGTGTGTCAGGGCCTTTAGCCAAAGTGGTGAGAACGTTCCCCGCTAGCTGGGAATGAACTAAAGCTTTAAAGGTCCCCTATTATACTCTTTTTCTCAGATATATACAAACATGTCTCTAAAGAGTTTGGCTGAAACATCAAACAGATCATTGCAGCATCCATAGCCGTGGGAACATGTTTCAAATGGGGGGTGCTGTGGGGATGACCAATGTGCTGTCCTAGGCAAGATTTTAGCTGGCAATGAAAAACCTCTACAAAAGACCAATACACTACAAAAAGAGAAACGTATTGACATGGTGGACAGCTTATATGAAAAGGCTTCAAATGTATTTAGTATTGTATGAACATGTTTTAATTGGGGGGTGGAAGATTTTTTAAAAACATTTTAAAGTAAAATGCTTCAATCTGGTGCACTTTGAGCGCCCAATTACTAGAGACCTGATCTAGGGGGTACAACTCTAAACACCCATTTGAAAAAGATCGGTTTGCATTTTATTAATCAAATAAGTATGTGAACATTTCCAATAACCTACCATAGCCCATAACAAATGAATGTAGGCTAACTTATTTTATTTTTGTGGTTCATTTATATCTTATTTTACCTAGTTAACATTTATTTATTTATGCATATTTTTAAATCTCTCCAGTTTTAAACAATATTTTTGGTTTACTGTCCTATAGTATACAGTGGAATGATTTCAAACCTGTTGTTATTTATCCTAATAATTATAAAGGTGTGCCTTGGAAATATTTGTTTACATAAATTGTGATCAAACCGTTTGAGACCCACTGAGATAACTTAGACAACAGTGAACTATCTAAACCCTCAGAGTCCTTTACCTCACTCAGACTCTCAGTCTGACAGGACAGAACTCTCCCTCCACATTATTGTAGAAACAGCTTCTTATATCCGTTAAAGGGTGTTATCTTTACTTAATTATGGATGTTGTTACATCATGGCTGAAAATTCGTTTTTTTAAATTCAGTTTCAGCCCCGTTTCAAAAGTGCTGATTCTCTGTCTGTTACTTTAGATGAAAATAAGGAGCCACTCCCCACGCCCCTCTGAGATATATTTGGTTACAAAGAACACAATGGTGCTCTAGGAGGAGATTCAGGTGATAAGGTGGGAGGGGTTACCTTGGTTGGTGATTGGCTAATGGTTACACAAGCCATAAAAATATTGTGACATCACAACGTGGCCAAAATCTGATCAGCTCATTTTCAGACAGGTTTTTATCTTTTTATCTTTTTCCCTGAAACTTTCAGAACCTCTCAACACAGAGGGGACACATGTTTATGTAGACATGAAAAAGTGGATTTTTTTACAATATGTGACCTTTAACTAAATGCTAACCGCGCTGAGTGACTGTCTAACATCAGGTTTTCCTCACTCCTCTCCTCTTTAACTCAAACAAACAAGTCAAGTTGCTCAACGTGAGGCGTTCACTGACGTCACTCTGCAGGAAAATCATACTGAACACAACAGTCTGCAGCTTAACATTTAAAAAAGTATAGATACACAAGGCTTAAATCAGTGAATAACAGTAGAGATGTATTACGTTTTGTTAGTATGTTTAACTTAATCACTTTTTTACGTGTTAGTATATGAAAACTGCTGAGAATTTTAATAAGAACAAACTATTTATATTTTGTTTCCTGTGGTCATGCATCCTCACAGAGCAGCAGGACTCTGCTCTAGGTTAGAATAGGAAGCAAAGTCATAAACCTTTATCATACGTACATATCTACTGTATCATACGTACATATCTACTGTATCAGAAGTACATATCTACTGTATCATACGTACATATCTACTGTATCAGAAGTACATATCTACTGTATCAGAAGTACATATCTACTATATCAGAAGTACATATCTACTGTAACAGAAGTACATATCTACTGTATCAGAAGTACATATCTACTGTATCAGAAGTACATATCTACTATATCAGAAGTACATATCTACTGTATCAGAAGTACATATCTACTGTATCAGAAGAACATATCTACTGTATCAGAAGTACATATCTACTGTAACAGAAGTACATATCTACTGTATCAGAAGTACATATCTACTGTAACAGAAGTACATATCTACTGTATCAGAAGTACATATCTACTGTATCAGAAGTACATATCTACTGTAACAGAAGTACATATCTACTGTATCAGAAGTACATATCTACTGTATCAGAAGTACATATCTACTGTATCAGAAGTACATATCTACTGTATCAGAAGTACATATCTACTGTATCAGAAGTACATATCTACTATATCAGAAGTACATATCTACTGTATCAGAAGTACATATCTACTGTAACAGAAGTACATATCTACTGTAACAGAAGTACATATCTACTGTATCAGAAGTACATATCTACTGTATCAGAAGTACATATCTACTATATCAGAAGTACATATCTACTGTATCAGAAGTACATATCTACTATATCAGAAGAACATATCTACTGTATTAGAAGTACATATCTACTGTAACAGAAGTACATATCTACTGTATCAGAAGTACATATCTACTGTATCAGAAGTACATATCTACTATATCAGAAGTACATATCTACTGTATCAGAAGTACATATCTACTGTAACAGAAGTACATATCTACTGTATCAGAAGTACATATCTACTGTAACAGAAGTACATATCTACTGTATCAGAAGTACATATCTACTGTATCAGAAGTACATATCTACTATATCAGAAGTACATATCTACTGTATCAGAAGTACATATCTACTGTAACAGAAGTACATATCTACTGTATCAGAAGTACATATCTACTGTAACAGAAGTACATATCTACTGTAACACACACACACACTGCTGATATACTTCTTTGGTTATTGCACACATTTGGCATTGTGAAATCTCTTGTCCAGCTGAAGCAAGTACAGTAATGGTATTCGCGTTTAAATTTGATTTTGTATAAAGATTAATACGTTTTTTAAATGATTCAGACCAAACAGAGGTTAACTCACGACACTTGTGCAAAACAGCAACACTGAATCAGCCTCAATTACAACTGTTCTGCTGTAAAGTGTTCCCTGAATGCAACATTAAAACCCTGATGTGCAGACAACTTTTTTCAGATTTAGAAACTTTAATTGCATTTCTAACAGGGATCTACATTTTAGTAAGTAAGATACTATTTCTAAAGCTACTTACAAGGAAACAACAATTAACAGCACGCTAAAATGAAAGCAAAATGGTCCATCTGATAAAATTTGAATGCTTTTTGGTGCTTTTAAAAAGGCCAGTTACATCAAAATGTAGAAATCAAAAGAATGGTGTTTTTGCGGATATAAATGAAGAATCGAGGTCCAAGGACTCAGAACATTTTTGCTTTGTAATTGTTAATGTTTTATTTCTTATAAACAGCTGTGTAAAGTCTAAAATGAGTCACTTGTCTCTTCTTCAAGTGGGTTTTCAGACGGTGGCGTCATCTCGAGAAATCACATTAGAGTTAATCCTCCACTTGAGATGTCTGCTGTTGCATCCAAACCAACACGAACAGTTCTCTAAAAGCAGATAACTTATATTAAAAAATAACTGAAGGTCCCAGGAAGCTGCAGAGTCTTAATATAGAGCCCACCATATGAATCAGACCTGATATTAAAAATTGAGCAGCAGCAGCAGAAGGTGAATCTATAATTAATGTGTTCACAGTTAAAGAACAGAGAACAGTGAGCTGCAGACTGCAAATATAGTAATGGTGTTTCAACATGAGAGAGATCTGATTTACTGAAAAACTGAAAATATGGGACTATATAGGATTATTTTAGGAATAATATTGCATAATGAAGCTATATTAAGTCAATTAAAACCACTTTTTTCCCCACAGCAGATTACAATGCTCAGAAATGTCACACAACTAATTTGAAAAGACATGAGTTCACCAATATAACCCATTTTAGTGTTTCTAGACACGTATGACACCATATTTAAAAAAATATTACGGCAGTTTTAATAGAAGTAGCCAGAAGGTGAATCTATAACTAATGTGTTCACAGTTAAAGAATATTGAACAGTGAGTTCAGTTCAGTGTAATTATTGGTGTTTGAACATGAGAGTTTGCAGGCTGCTGTTTAAACTCATTTACTGAAAATATGGGACTATATAAGATTATTTTAGGAATAATATGGTATAATTAAGTGATATTAAGTCAATTAAATGCTCAGAAATGTTTCAAACCTAATTTGAAAAGACATCAGTTCACCAATATAAACCATTTTAGTGTTTCTAGACACGTATGACACCATCATTTGAAATATTACGTCAGTTTTAATAGCATTTTAATATCTAGCCAGGAAGTTATTATAACAGTATTATAGAGGACTGACCGTGTGGATGAAGGAGCAGCCCAGCAGCAGCAGAGCCAGAGTATAGCTCAGATTTGCCTCCATGGTCACCTCTCCTCCGGCTCACCTGAGGACATCCTGAGCAGGAAGCACGTGCACTGCCGGGAAAATGCCACCACACTGAGCGATACCTGGGAGGAAGTTTGGTAGTAAAAGTCGCCGACCAATCAGTTTTTGGGCACGTTGGTCTGTCAGCGAATGAGACCTCCTCGAACAAACATCCCCCAACACCTGAATTTCCACCTGAAATACTACAAACTCAAGTGTTTCCCTGTTCTCCGGAGTGCGGAGTGACACTGAGGCGGTGGTCCGGCTCACTCCACTTACAAACAAGTAGTGGGCGTCCCCGCCACACGCTGTCTCTGAGGAGGACACCCCGGACTGATGCGCGCTCCGGCTAGGCTTCCTGAATTAGTGTGTTTGTTAATATTGAATAGCAACAGCGACACCGTGTGGCTGTACCGGGTAAAACACTATATGAGGTTACAGTGTTTTAAGAGTAGTTTCCAAACTCTGGTACAAGTCCCTCATAGGGTCGTAGATAGGCCCAAGAGGTCCTAAAATAACGAACAAACCTGATGCTTTCAAGAAGTCTATGAATCAAAAATAAAATCCTCATTAAAACTTCCTTAAATACACTTTAGATCATAAATATTAAAGCCACATCAGCCCTTTTTTTTGGGATTTATCATTATTTTAAATGGATACATATTGTATTAATTATAATTTGTTTGTATATAAGAACAAGACTTTGTCCAGATTCCATTAGTATTGCAGTACATGTAAAATAAGTTGTGAGGTAAACAGCTCTAACTTTATTAGCGGCAGATGAAAGGACGGAGGATACAAACTGAACCCAGCGTCTGACCCCACAGATCATTCAGTTTTTTATGACCGTAAACGCAACATAAATCAGTCAGGAATGCTTTTACCGAGATACAGTCTGAAAATTAGAAGCAGAAAAACCAAATAAAGGAGAAAAGGGAAAGCTGGTTTGTATTTACACCGAACCGTTAATCATGCAGTGTTTGAATGTTTTACTGTGCTCGTTTCTGTCTGTTTATCCATTTGTTGCTCTTTTATGAGCCGTCCCTGCATTTCTGTAAATATTGTTTGCATGTGTAAACGTTTTTGTTTACAGATATTAAAAGTAGTGAGAGTGAGAGCGCTGGAGATGCAGCCAATAAAACCAGATGGACTCTGGGAGAACTGAGAGAAACATGAGAGAGGCTGGCCTAATGTAAATACTGTAAATCCTACATTAAACAATGAAATGTTTTACATTCATTTTGCATTTTTTTAAAGTGATTTTGACCTTCATTTCCCCAATACTCGCAAAACATTTTTTTTAAAGTGCCAATTAAATAAAAAACAATTGTAGGCATAAGTCTGAAGCATTAATAAAAACCAGGCACATCATAATAAAGTAAAATAAAATAATAATAAAAACCAGTCTGAGTTTTAGCCAATCAAAGCACTTTATTGCACTGTATAGTGTGACTGTGAGCCAATAGCAGGCTCTTATAAAAGTGTCATTTAATCTTTTTATCATGTGTACAAAACAAGTCACACACACTTGTACCGTACAAAATCAACACTATTTACATACAATATACATACACACTGAACACACACACCATGCAGTCTCTCTCCCATCAAGTCCTTCAGGTTTCTGATGGGATTTTCCTTCTTGTCTGACATCCTCCACCACACACACACACATTCACACACACAGGGACTGAAACATGACCGCTACGCTGCTACCAACAAACCCAAACTGCTCTGTTAGCCAAACAAGCGCTAAGCAACTCCTGATATGCATAAAGTTTCTCCTTTCTTCTGATAAAAAGACAAAAAACATGACCGATGAGGCGATGTGTGTATCCACAGAGAAGTAAACAAATGTTTATGAATTATTTCTCAATACATTTCTCTATAAAACCCACAGCGTCACTGACAGTTCCCATAAGGCGTGGATTACTACACCTCGTGCGGATAAACTCTTCCCATAAGTCCCTTTAAATAACTACAATATTCCCTCTTTAGTATTCACACAGTGCATTTCGCTTGACAAGAAACGTTGGACTACATTTCTCAGGTTTACTGCGAGCAATATGATGAAAAACGTAGATTATTGTGCATATGTTTGCAGGTCACAACGCTTTAAATCATCTTTCTATTGATACACATTGCACGTATATTGTTTTTCTGCATGGTCAAAACATTTCACGAGACAAAAGCTGTTCATGTCTATCGAGCTTGAATCAATGCATTTATTGTGAGACTTTGCAATCTGAGAAAACGTATAGTTATTCGTTTTTTGGATGTTTTCAGTTTGTGTCTCTCATTTCCATAATTTCTTTTTCCTATTTCTTCATTTGAGGATAAAATCTGTCGCGTAAATCACATTAAAAGTATGTAAAATGTCCCTGTCACACATTGACATGATGAACACACACACACACACACACACACACACACACACACACACACACACACACACACACACACACACACACACACACACACACACACAACACACACACACACACACCACACACACACACACACACACAACACACACACACACACACACACACACACACACACACACACACACACACACACACACACCACACACACACACACACACACACACACACACACACACACACACACACACACACACACACACACAGGGTGCAGGTGGAGAGAGCTGCATATAGGGGCTACTATACCTCTTTCTGTTTTAGGTACCTCTCCATATAGATTATTATGTCTATGTACAATATTTATATTTTTACAATTATCTGGCTGCCCCTGTTCTAATTGAAAACATTTTTTTTTTCCCGATTCGATCAGTCAAACATGATACAGTCTTTTATATTTGTATCTCTCTATTGTACCTCCTAAGACCTCCTAAAAACGGTGTGAGGACCGACACAGTGTTCCCCTAAGGCTTTCTACAGTGACGAGCTCCCGGTAACGGTCACGAGATTGAACGGGGTGTAAAAATGACCAATCAATCAACCATTCAAGCAATCAGCCAATCAGCCAATCAACTGGCACAACACGACTTCAAAGAAAAAACGACGACGTAACACCACACCATATGCAGGTTCAAAAATACAGTACATCTTGATTCTGGGAAATAAATGAACAACAACGGCGATATGCACGGCATACACACGCATGCTCGCTCACTCCTGAACACACACACACACACACACACACACACACACACACACTCAGGCTACATGTTGTAGGCCACATAGATGGGGTCCAGCTGGTCTTGTAGGAAGCCGTCGCGGAGGTGCATGCGCTGCTTCTCGCCCCGGGAGTTGATGGGGATGACGCCGATGTCCGTCACCACGACAACGCCCACGATCAGGTAGTGCTCCTCCAGCACCGCCTTGGTCACCATGGGAACCAGGTCCAGTGCCTCCTGCTCCGAGCCCTCCAGCTCCACCACCACCACCAGCAGGTTGGTCCAGGGGAACACAGCGCTGAGGAAACATCGTTGATTTGATCATGAATATAACATATTATTTACTCAAATATCTGGCCTTCTGGATGCTTAATATTCCACTTCCTGTCTCTTTCTGTCTCTGTTAAACCTACCACTCCATGATGCTCTTGTGTGCGCGGATGACGGAGGTCTCGATGTCGATGGGATGGTACCTCATCCCCCGCAGCTCCATGGCCTCCTCCAGAGCGCCTACCACGAACAGAGCGTCGTGCCTCTCTGTTGGGAGAAAGAAGGAGACATGTTGGTGTCGGAGGCAGCAGAGAGAATGAGTGGAGGAGACGTAGGAGGCGGAGAGGAGACTAACCCCCGTTGGCGTCGGTGAGCTCGGTGCGGCGCAGGAAGCCCAGGTACCCCGTCCTGGCCCACGTCGTCTGCGTGTCTCCGAAGCTCAGCCTGGAGTTAAAGTGATCCGATTGGAGGACCTCCTCTCCGTAACCGCTGTAGTAACCGCTGCCGTTATGAGCGCTGTGCACCCAGATCTGCAGGGACAGAGAGAACAGGTACGTTTTCTAACTGCAATATTATACACTCAATCTACGTAAGCTTTGATCAATATTCGGGATTGTGGGAAACGGGATTTCGATCTCTCTGTCTGTACACACAAACTGGAAGATTGACAATAAAGTTGACTTTGACTTGACTTTGAATAAGGCAGGTAATAGCTACATATTTAAGAGGGAAGAAAGCTAAATAAATAATGAGGCAATCATTTGGGAAATTGGGAAAATATACAAATACAAAGAGAAAATTCAGAAGGACAGACAAAGAAAATAAATATAAAGAAAGGGAAATAAAAAACAAAGTCAATTGAGACGAGAAAATAAAACGATAACAGAGTAAAGTGCAAGAGAAAAAGGAAATAAAGGTAAACAAAAGACAGAGGAAATAAATGAGTTGGAAGAAGGGAAGGAGAGAAGGACACAGAAGAAGGGAAGGAGAGAAGGACACAGAAGAAGGGAAGGAGAGAAGGATGATACAGGATATGAAAGGAAGAACTATGAGTTGTTCCCGACCTCTCCCAGGTGGGAGTCTCCCAGCGGCCCTTTGGTCTCGGGGTTGGCGATGATGATACGAACTCCGGGTAGGATCTGAGGATAAATAAAATAAAAAATCAGTTGCCGTAGTTACAGCTTTGATTCCAGCATGAATAAGACTCCCGAAATAGAGCCAGCTGTTTACTTCACACTCGCTTCACAACCTCCTCGCTAAATAACACGGATGTCAGAAACACATCCACAGTTTGTCTGATTTCAATTTCAAACAAACACAACAAATGGAGACACAGAGAATCACTCAGGAAGCTTTAAATAGAAGGATGTATTGACTGGTAAACAAATGTTCCTCCGCCCACATACAGTGAGTCAAAATAAAGATCGATGCCCGGCCTGAAACATGACGTCTCTGTGTGTCGGTGTGGAGGAAGAGAGACACCAACGTCTCCTCATGTAGATACAAAGTGCCTTTCCTCTCAGATCAGCACTGCTTTTAATGCATCAAATAGAGCAGGGGGGTCAAACTCAAACACACAGTGGGCCAAAATAAAAAAATGGGTACTAGTCGAGGGCCGGACTGGTTCAATGTTTATTGCAAAACTTATTGAAATGAACTTATTGCACATATTAAACCTGGAACTAACAAAGCTTAAATGATTGCCTAACATTAAACATTGAATAATCAGTTGCATTAATTTCTTATGGCTCTATCTGGAGATTTTCCGGAGTCATTTCTTATGATTACATTTTCCCACAGGCCAACAACAGCTTCAACAAAACAATTCCCCTCAAAGAAAAAACCAACATGCCCTGTTGTCATGAGAAAAAAAGTGCAGAAGG